CACCTAGGGTCCCTGCTCCAGTACTTGGATTTGTTCTATAATTAATTGTGGTGGTAATTAGGACTTTTTAGTAATTATTATTGCACAGACTCGACACATGTCACAATTGTTGTTGTATTCTAGTAGTAACTTTAGTACATCAAAATTTTAAACTTTAACCTTAATACTAAATGAGGCAGTTGTAAGAAATACATAAATTACAACACTAAACTGTTGAGTACTTGTCACTGTTAATGTTGTTAATAAAAACTCATAGTCAGTTGGTGTTATCATCTTAGTAGTCTTCTCTTTTTAGATAGAAGTTTGTGTTTTCAAGCATTAAGGTTTACTTTTCCTTAAGATACTGTCACTCTCATTTAGCTACGGATAATTAATAACGGTTATAAGATAATCTTAGAGCTGTTATGATAACAAAAGTAATGTTAGGGCATTAAGGGCTGAAAATTCAATCTTACACTTGAATATTCTAGATGTGATGGTACTAAAATCAGACCGGACCAACCGGTTTGACCGGTTGAACCACGAACTGGCCATACCTCCGGTCCAGTTCAATTAAAAACCCAAAGAATTAATTGAACCGGTTGAACCGGTAAAAACTGGTAAAAATCGGGAGGTTCGATCGATTTTATTAAGTATTTATTTTTTAAAATAAATATTTTAGTTTTATTCAAAATGTTTAATACTAAAATGAATAAAAAATTATTAAACCTTTGAACTGGGGTCGAACCGGTTGAACCGATCGAACCGTGAAGCGGAAGGTTTTCCGGTTCACTCCCCGGTCCGGGTTTAAAAGCATTGACTAAAATAATTTACAAGTTGTTGGTCAGAGACCACTGATTGCGCCAGATTTGCATAACTTTTAATAGTCCAAAACACTGAGACTAAGAACTAGATTTGAATCATACTTGTCATATCAAATGTAGACTATTAGCATTACTATGTGAACAATAGTCTAAACAAAAAGAAACCTTCGTAAGGCATTGAAGCTACTACGCTTATACTAGTAAATATAATCCATAATGATTCCAAATCCATGTAATGACATGCATGATAATAAGAAAACTAATATGCATAGGATCTGACTACTTATACGTGAGTTGCATTTTTAATGGATCCTCAGGCCAACAAGATTTTTTAAAGAGCAAGTACTATTGTTAGATTAATCAAGGCACATTCAAATGGATTGATTATAACACGATCCTTTAGGAGTTACTCAATAGATTCTAATAGAACTTGATCAACAATTTTCAAAGTTTTGAGATCTAGTTAATTCTACTAAAATTCATAAACTAAGATAGGTACAATAAATCTTAAAATCCAGATTGACTTTTCAAAACAATGAAAAATAAAAAACTTAGAGTCTTACTTGCGTTGCAATCACGAGTTGTTATTTGACTTCGAATTTCCTGCTCCTCCCTCTTTTCCTCTTCCAAAAGCTTGCTCACCCTCTCCCTCAAACTCACCTTTGTATTTGTCAATTTGCCAGAGAAAGGAAAAGATGATTTAATTTTTTGTACAGGGTATGTATAAGCCTCAGATTAGTAGTGTTATGTCAAAACTCAATTAAAAAGTCAACGTCCTAATTATTAGTTGATAATATTTTTTAAATCGATTGATTGAGATTTGATTTATAATTAGACATAAATGTTATTAATTGTATTTTAAATCTTACCATAGGAAATATCCTAATTAGTAATAGAAATAGGCTTGATTAATGGTTGACTAGCAATTACATATTAATAATACTAAATGTAATTGGAAACCTTACCATGAAAATTAAAGAAAAGAACTTACTACATTTATTGATCTTATTACTAGTGTTTAGTAGTATGACTAGGTTTCTTTGCTAATATGGTAAAGGTGTGATTTTAGGATATTACATTATACTCCCCTTAAAATAAGTTTCGTCTTTGAAACTGACATACCTTGTGTAAACAATTGCGGATACTTTGCTCTCATTTCTTCTTCCAACTCTCATGTTGCTTCTCTCTCTATATGGTTTGTCCGTTGGAATTTGACATACGAAATCATCCTTCGCCTAAGCACCTGATCCTTTTGATCAACAATCTTCACTGGATGCTCTTTGTAGGTTGCGTCTTCCCTCACCTCCAGTGGTTGAGCCTTTAGTATGTAACTTGAATCAAAGATATACTTCCTCAATTGGGACACATGAAAGACATATGGACTTTAGATAGAGTAAGTGGTAGTGCCAAATGATACGCCAAATTTCCTACTCTTTCAAGTATCTCAAAAAGGCCTATGTATCTGGGTCTTAACTTTCTACTCTTTCCAAACCTCATAATACCTTTCAAAGGGGAAATTTTCAAATATACCTTATCCCCTTGATTAAACTCTAGCGGTCTCCTTTTAGTATCTACCCAACTTTTATTATGATCCTGAGCGTCTTTAATTTGTCCTTGATGATTCTAACCTTTTCTAAAGTCTTCTCAACCAAATCTGGTCCAGAAATTAATTTCTTTCCGACTTTATCCCAATATAATGGGAATCTACACTTCCTTCCATATAATGCTTCAAATAGGGTCATTCCAATTTCACTATGATAGCTAATATTAAGGAGAATCCATTAGCTTAACCATTCCATCCCAACTTCCTTTAAATTCGAGTGCACATGCTCGCAGCATGTCCTCCAAAGTCTGAATTGTTCATTCAGATTGCCCATCCATTTGTGGATGGAAAGTAGTACTCAATCTAAGATCTGTTCCCATCATTCTTTAGTATGTAGACCAACTTGATGTAAACCTAGGGTTTCTATCTGACACAATGCCTACTAGTACTCCATGTAAACAAATTATGTCTGAAATGTACATCTTCACTAATTTTTCCATGCAAATTCCATTTGCAATAGGTAGGAAATATGCACTTTTTGTCAAACGGTCCACAATGACCAAAATGGTATCATGGCCTTCTTTGGTCCTTGGTAGTCCTATCACAAAATCCATTGTGATATGCTCCCATTTCCATTGTGGGATCTCCAATGGCTGCCATAATCCAGCAGGTCTTTGATGTTCAACCTTAACATGTTAGCATACTAAGCATCTCACAACATATTCAACAATTTTTCTTTTCATCCCATTCCACCAGTACATTTGTTTTAGGTCTCGATACATTTTAGTTCCTCCTGGATGTATAGAAAATTTTGTATTGTGGGCTTCCTTTAAAATTTCCTTCTTTATTTGTTCATTCTTAGATACACATAACCTTCCCTTCATCTATAGGCTACCATCAGTTTTTGCTTAAAATTTCTCGGATGTTTCAACCTTAAGCTTCTCCTTTACCTTTGCAAGTTCAGGATCTACCCTTTATGTATTTTTAATTCTATCAACCAAAGTTGGTGCTAACACCAATGCACCTAAAACTCCATTAGTAGAATCTATCACATCTAAGTTCAAATATGCCATTTGCTTCCTCAAATTAGGGGTGCTAGTGGTAGTTATTTTTCTACTAAGGGCATCGGCTACTCAATTTGCTTTCCCAGGATGGTAGCTAATGGTCAAATCATAATCCTTTATCAATTCTAACCACCTCCGTTGCCTCATATTCAACTCCTTCTTAGTAAATAAATATTTCAAACTCTTGTGATCAGTGAACACCTCGCAATGTTCTCCATACAAATAATGCCTCCATAGTTTTAGTGCAAAAACAACTACAGCTAATTCTAAATCATGAGTCGGGTAATTTTATTCATACAGTTTCAATTGCTAAGATGCATAAGCAATCACTCAACCATTCTACATCAACACATAACCTAACCCATGCTTGGATGCATCACCAAAATCATAAAACCACCCGAGTCAGATCACAATGTCAATACAGGAGCCGAGACCAATTTTTGTTTCAACTTTTGAAAACTTGCCTCACTTTTAGGTGAACCATAAAAACTTAGTTTGCTTGTGAGTTAACTTGCTTAAAGGCATGGTTGTTGATGAAAATCCTTCAACAAATTTTAGATAATATCTCGCCAATCCTAGAAAACTCCATACTCTGTCACATTAGTTGGCCTTGGCCAATCCACAATAACTTCTATCCTCTTAGGATTTACTGCCGCACCTTGATCCAATAGTGCATGTCCTAGAAAGGTTACACTCCTTAGCCAAAATTCGCATTTGCTAAATTTTATGTATAACTTTTCCTTCCTTAATATCCCCAATACTTCTCTAAGATGCTCAGTATGTCCTTCCTCAGTTGAGGAATATATTAAGATATCATTTATGAACACCATCACAAACTTATCTATTAGGATTTAAATACCCAATTCATTAAATCCATGAATGCAACAGGTACATTGGTTAATCCAAATGACATGACTAAGAATTTATAATGCCCATACCTTGTCTTAAATGCACTCTTAGGAATATCCCCTTCTTTGATTTTCAATTGATGATATTCAGACCTCAAATCAATTTTAGAAAATAGCTTAGCACCTTTCAGTTGATCAAATAAATCGTCAATTCTTGGGAGTGGGTACTTATTCTTGACCGTGATTTTATTTAATTCTCGATAATCTTTACACAGTCTCACACTCCCATCCTTATTTTTAACAAAAGGCACAGGTGCTCCCCAAGTTGAAACACTCAACCGAATAAATTTCTTATCAAGTAATTGCTGAGATTGGTCTTTTAACTCTATTGGGGTCATTCGATTGGGTGGCTTAGAAATGGGTACTGCTTTAGGTATCTCAAACTTTATTTCCCTATCGGGAGTATCCCAGGAAGTTCATCAGGGAAAATGTCTAAAAACTCTTTAACTACTAGTTTATTTTCTAAGAAAATACCATTCTCTTTAGTGTCAACCACATAGGCAAGATAACTCTCTGCACCTTTTCTTAATGCCCTAGATGCTTGTGATGCAGTCAATAATAACTGCCTATGTATTTTCTTCTTATTTTCTAAATTCCCTTGAAAAGAAAACTTGTCTTTAGTAGGATCATTAAAAATCACTTTTTTTCTCCTACAATCAACCTATGCATGGTTTCTAGCTAACTAATCCATCTCTAAAATGAAATCAAAGTCACTCATATTAATTTCGACTAAATTGGCTCGTAATGTTCTACCCTCAGTTTCAACCAAACAATTGTTATATTTTAGGTGAGATACAAGAACTCTATCACCAGGAGCATATGCACAAGATGCGTTATCTAACCATTTAGGTTGCACGTTCAAGGTTTTAGCAAACTTTCTAGCCATAAAAGAATGGGTAGCACCACAATCAAAGAGCATATAGGCAGGCGTAGAGTTTACAAGAAGTGTACCTGTGACTACATCATTAGATCCTTCTACCTCAAAGTTAGTCATCGCATGTACCCTTGCATTGATTCTTGGCCTATTTTCAGGGGGCTTAGTACACTTATCACCTTCTTTCTTAGAATTTGGATAGTCCTTCGCTCGATGACCCATTTATCCACACCCAAAACAGGCACCAATTTTCAGATGCCATTCTCCCAAATGCATCCTATGACAAGTTGGGCATTCCTTCTTAGTAGGAACTTTTTCTTTAGATTCAGATGTAACCATCTGTGGAGGGGTAATTAGGTTTCTCCTTACCAACCTAAAAACCCCGCTTGGTCTCTTTGGACTGACCATACTACCTTCACCCTCAAGTCGAGGCCTTTTGCCTCTTTCTTCCGCTTGAAGTCTTTTGATACCTGCCTCAATTTTTACACTTGTATTGAACAGTGTATTATAGTCGGAGATCAAAGTGTTTGATAGCTTTGATTACATTTCGCTTGACAATCCCCTTGTGAACTTTAACATTTTTAACTGTTCATTTGCCATAATAGAAGGAACAAACCTTCCCAAAGTGCAAAACTTATTTGTAAACTCGACAACTGACATGCCTGGTGTTTGCTTCAGTGATTCAAATTCTTCCATATTCTGAAGATGGACAGCAGGTGGAAAAAAGTAGTTAAGGAAGACTTCCTTAAATTTCTCCCAATTCATTGGCTGTGCAATGATAGGTTCAACAGTTGACCACCATTTCTCTACATCTTCAACTAAAAAGGGTGTGATTATCTCATGTTTCACTTCTTCTGGAACTTGCAATAACTTAAATTTAGTCTCAACCTCTCCTAACCATTTCTCTGTTTTATCCGGATTCGGAGAACCATCAAAGGTTGGGACTTGCACTTTCTTCATTCTCTCATAGTGTACATGAATACCAGTCTATCTTTGTGCATTTGCCTGTACCGCTTAGGCTTGCAACTGCACATGGCCTTGTATATCCTATGCCACAACAGTTAATACTGTGATAAATTCTGGTGGCACCATCATTACAGGTCCATTGCCACCTTGACCATTCACAGTTTGATTGTTGTTTCCATTGCCACCTTGACTATTTATATTTTGGTTGTTACTACTCTCACCTTTACCGTTACTCCTAGTTCGTACCATTTTTCTAAAACGACAAATTCTATCAACTCATCTATATTGTGCCAAAGATCTATATACATTGAACAACCTAAGTTCAAGTCATAATGAGAGTCTTTTTAAAGATGTTGTCATTTTTTTTTGCCTCAAAATGTAAAGCAAGAGAAGAGTTATCTAGTGCAAGCAACTAATGAATGTAATAATCAATGATAAGCATGAATTTTGTGAATTATTCGATCAAAAGTTAAACAAGCAGATATCAAAACTAGAATATTAATAATAATGATAATAATAATGTTGCTGATAAAATTGTCAAACATTAAGGAATAACCCCTAACTTATTACAACTTATTATAGAGATTTTATTTCAAATAAGTGGAATCATATTGCTTTTCTATCGTGTCAAGGTATTAAGGATTCAATATATCCTTAACACTAAATCTTCTTCATATGCTCGAGCATCCCCAAGAGTATTGTCATTGCCTATTTCCTCCTCTATGGGTTCCTCTTGCTCTTCTTTCTCTATAGGATTCTCTTCTTATTCTTCATTCATAGCGTTCTCATTCTCATTGTTAGCCATGACAGGGGCATTCTCACCCTCATTATTACCTTCATCTATATTCGGCCAAAAGTTTTTGAACTCGGGGACTGGTGAAAACATGGCTATGATAGTGCGAAACTCATTTCTCTTTTGCTCATACATGGCCCTTAGATCATGGTAGGCCATCTCTCGCTCATAGGTATAATCATTCATTTCCTCCACCGTATTCTCCTAATAATTGGCTTCAGTCCTCCAAGTTTCAATATCCATTTTCAGATGGATATTTTCGTACTTCAAATTATCGACTTTCAAGTCCAAAGCAGTATTTCTATTCCTCGATCTAGCCTTATTAGTCACTAGCTTCTGAACATCACGCCTTAAAATTCCTTCTCCTTTTCTACCTCAGCATTAGAACAAAAGTTCAGTAATTTCCTTATGCAAGGCATCTTCCCTTAATTCCTGTCCTTGAATCTCATTAGTTTTCTCCTTAAGCTCCCTTTTTAAACTCTCGATCATCTCTTTGGCAACCACCTCAACCTGTATTACCCTTTTCATCCAATCTTCAATTAAATCACTGGACTCCTTCTTTGACTTCTCAAGTTCCTGAACCCTAGTCAGCAACATCTCATTTTCATCTCTTAGGTGCCTAACACTGCATCCAGTTGCCTCTACCAGACAATGGCACTCTTCTCTATCAGCAAGATAAACGACATGTCTAACCATAATCTACACGACCAAAATGTTCTCGTTAGTAGAAATTTTAACTAAAAGTGAATTTAAATCTCCCAAAAACAAATTAGGAATCACATATCTTGTATCTAGAATCTATTCCTATAAGATCTAGACCTTGTTCAAATACTACTAAAACTGTCACGTCCCAAACCGGCACCTTGCTCAAAATGTGACAGTCACCGTACCCCAAAAAGTATAATTCTCCAAGATACAAGGCCTCAATAATCATTACATCTTGTTTGCAGAAGCAATAGAATATCTAGTGCGGAACTTATTTCTATTAATATATATATAAAAATAAAATAATTAAGTAATCATTCTATTGAGCCATATATGCTCGTTATTAACATAATGGATCCAAATATAACATTTATTCAATCACTATTTGATTATTCTACTAGCAATCCCAGTCACCATCAACCTCAACAAACTTATATACGTACTCATCCTCTGCATAAAATGTTAAAATATTGGGATGATCATCAACTTGCTCAGTGAGTAAAACATACCATCCTTGTTGGATCGAGTATGCTACATATGTATACAGTTATACATTTCCAAAAGTCATACACACAAACACACAATTTCATGAAGAGTAAACACTCCTTGCACATTAGTATCATCTATAAACATTGATTAAATAGTTAATGGATCTTAATAGTTACATGCCTTCATCGGCACTGAGTACTCAGTCTAGTTATTGACCCTACTAGAATGGGCAGCCAAAGAGACCTCCGGAATACCCTTTGACTAACATTGCACTTTACTTTACTTTATATTGACATTGGTAGGACTATAGCCCCTACCAATTATGTCGTGACCATTATAGCCGTTACATTAACATTCACACTTAATCAAGTAAAATCAAATAATTTTGTATAAGCATGAACATCTCATATACATATAGATTTCATAGCAAGAAGTGTTTAGGTTCAATGCACATAGCCATATAAAGTCCATTTTCATATAGAGAAAGTAACATTTTGCCAAACATTGCCAAAACGATTTTTGAAAATACAAAGGGACAAATCCCACCCACCTCGATTAGCTTGGAAGAAAGTCCTACTAGGGTTCTTGATCCTTGCCTTCTATGTGAGACTCCGGTTAGTCCTTAATTTTGATATTATTTGAATAAGGAGTATTATCGTTATTTTGCTATAAAATTTGGTTTTAAGGTTGGTGGTAATACTTAAAAAGGTTATTTCGTCTATATACTATGAAAACCCTAATTTGGGTTATTACTAAAACCCTAGTTTTTGTAATGAATTGCAAGTTTGTGCTATTATATTAATAGGCATGCTAATATATGTTATCGTGCAAGTAAGTATAGGATTCGATTCTTTTAGCAAAGGTTAGGTAGGTCTGAGAGCTAGAAAACCCTAAACTAGTCAAACCTCTAGTGTTACAATCCATTAGAAAGCTTAAGTTGGGTTTAAAACCCTAATTTTGCCAATGTTATAAAGGTTGTTGTTTCATTGTTTTTATTATGGAGAAAGTATGATTAAGTATTGGAGGTTAAGATAGGAAGGTGATTAGTGAAACGATTAAGTGTGACTAAGTATTTTAGACTAGATTAAGTTATAACTTATGGAGTTAATTGAAAGATTATCAAATGTTTGAGGGAAAAGGAGTAAGAAAGAGAAAGTAAAGGTGTAAGGGCTAAGAGGCAATAAACAAGCTTTTATTTGATTGGTGGAATGGTAAATATCTTCCCAAGGCTTTGACTACTATTTGATGGTAGGAAAATACAAGATAAAGCTAGGAAATAAACAAAACAAAGCAAAAGAAAAAAAGAAAGAGGGAAGGCCGAGAGAGAGAGAGAGCAAGAGAGGGGAGAGATTTTCTTCAAAGTTCTTCAATTTTTAGCCATCCATCTTGCTTGTGGAGCTTAAGAAGACAACTTGAGCACTTGATTGTTGTGGTTTGATCATCTACAAAGCTTATTTGAAGGCGGTGACGGGCTAGACGGAGCCGGTGGGGCCCACTAGCTGACGACTTGAATTCATTTCCGTACTTTCTCTCGTTATACTTGCTCTTTAGGTGAGTAATCAGGGTTTTTGTGTAACTCAATGCTAATATGAGTTTACTATGAAAAATGGGCACTTAGGCGAGGGTGTACTTTATCGCATTCAACCTAAACCCCATTAGTTGCTATTGATACCTGTGAAATATGATTTTGTGATTTGTTATGGAGCATTTATTGCTTGTGAAACATTTGCGGAGCAATTATTGCTTGTGACGCAATTTGGGAGCATTTATTGCTTGAACCAGAGCATTTATTGCTTGAACTACGATTTTAGAGTATTTATTGTTTGAAAAATATTTTAGAGCACTTATTGCTCGTGACTTGAGCTGAGGCTCATGGTCTCTCTATGTGGGATTTTTTAAGAGAAGCGAGCTGTGTGGCTCAGGATCTCAAGGGTCAACCAGTGATCAAACTCAACAAATGAGTTGGCTTTGGAGCTACCCATATCCTTACCATGTGGTGTTACTTTTCTGCTTTTGCTTTGCTCTCACTGTGCAAATGTTGACATGTAAAAATTACATTTTTACCCCTGGTTAGTCACTAAGCTTATAGCTTACCCCCTTTTCTTTTGTTTTCCTTAGTAGGGGCCGACGCGGGAAAATTTTGGCACCATCACTAGTATAGTTAGGTTTGGTTTGTAATAGTTGAACAACTAAGATATTTTTGTTTGTTTTGATGACCTGTATTAAAACCCTTCTTTGGGTCTACTTTCTAATTTTGATTACTATCATG